GCCAGCTGGCTAGCTAGCCGCCCAGCTAGCAAGCTAGCTAGCTAGCTAGCTACCCAGCCAGCTAGCTGGCTAGTTAGCTAGCTGGCTAACTAGCTAGCTAGCCAGCTGGCTAGCTGGCTACCTAGCTGGGTAGCTGGGTAGCTAGCTGGGTAGCTAGCTGGGCAGCTGGGCAGCTAGCTGGGTAGATAGCTGGGTAGATAGCTGGGTTGCTGGGTGGGTGGCTGGATGGGTAGCTAGCTGGGTAACTAGCTAGCTGGGTAGCTAGCTGGGTAACTAGCTAGCTGGGTAGCTAGCTAGCTAGCTGGGTAACTATCTAGCTGGGTAGCTAGCTAGCTAGCTGGGTAACTAGCTAGCTGGCTAGCTGGCTGGGCACATAGCTAGCTGGCTAGCTAGCTGGCTAGCTAGCTAGCTGTGAAGGAGTTGTGTTATGGGCTTCGGGTGTAGTGCGTCTCTACATGCTGCTGCTGTTGCTGCTCCCACCTGTGCCGGCGCCTTGGCTGCTCCTTCACTCGTGCTGCTGCTGCTGCTGCTGCTGCTGCTGCTGCAGAAGTGCGGGAATGGGCGACTAGCACAGATTCACCACGGCAGCTGGCAGGGCCTGGAAAGATGGGCAGAAGCTCAGGGGCTTCCTGTGGAGAAGGCCGTGAGGCAGTACCACCAGCGAACGTAAGCTAGGGTTTAGGGTTTAGGGTTTAGGGTTTAGGGTTTAGGCTTTAGGGTTTGGGGTTTAGGACTTGGGAACCCGGGGTGGCGAACTGCGGGATTGCGGCGGAGAGTCTGGAGCTGCTGCCGCGCCCTGAGGCGGCCAGCATTTAGGGTTTAGGGTTTAGGGTTTAGGGTTTAGGGTTTAGGGTTTGTGCGCAGGTACCGGCCGAGCCAGCTGACTGTGGCCGTAGTAGACCCCCGGCCGCTTTCAGTAATAGAATCTGCTGTTGCTCCCGCGCTGCAGTATTTGTCTCCTGCTGCAGCAGAAGCAGCAGCAGGGACTGGAGCGCTTGCTGCTCTCGCTGCTGCTGCTGCTGCTGCTGCAGTGGCTCCTCGCGAGGACGACGCCGCCGCCGCAGCAGCAGCAGCAGAGCCCCCCAGCAGCTGCCCCACGCCAGCAGTTCATCTTCTGGAATGTGCTTCCGACCAGCAAAACTTAATTGCTTTTTTTTGCTTCTTCCTGCCGCCCGCAGCCCCAGCAGCAGCAGCAGGAGCAGCAGCAGCAGCAGACGTGGCCGCCGTGCTGCGGGCCCGCAGACTTCTCGTTGAAATGCTTGCTGCTCCTGGAGGAGACAGTCTTTTGGGGAGACTTGTGAAAACTGGAAAAGCTGTTCGAGCAGCAGTGCATTTGCCTGTCTCCAGCGACGCGGGGGGCCTCCTCCAGGTGCTGCTGCTGCTGCTGCTGCTGCTGCTGCTGCTGCTGGGGATG